AGATACAACATTTAAGGGACTAATTAAGGTCGTGGCTTACGGCCTTAATAGTTTACAGGGCTGCGAGACAAATTCAGATCCAGTGCTCTGGTCAACAAAACATTTATAAGGAAGGAATTCAAAGCCATGAACATTATACGCATATGTACACTCAGGAGGACAGATAGATAGAAAATGTTGGATAGATAGGTAATGTTTGATAGATAAATATGCAAACTATTTACAGTAGTTACTTTTGAAATGAACTTAAGGGACACTTTCATTTTTTACTTTATGCTTATATTGTTTAAATATTTTGCAATATTTTATAAATTAAAAAAATATAGGTTATCTAAAAACAGAGACTGTGTGAAAAAGAAATATATTTCTCATTGTTGTCCTTATGTTCCCTAGGACTCATCTTTGTCACTCACTATCAAAAGTAGATTGGTGTAGGCCAGGCGCGGTGGCTCAGGCCTGTAATCCCAGCACTTTGGGAGGCTGAGGCACGCAGATCACTTGAGGCCAGGAGTTCGAGACCAGCCTGGTCAACATGGCAAAACCCTGTCTCTACTAAAAATATAAAAATTAACCAGGCGGCACACGTCTATAATCCCAGCTACTACAACCTCCACCTCCTGGGTTCAAGTGATTCTCCTGCTTCAGCCTCCTGAGTAGCTGGGATTATAGGTGCCGACCACCAAGCCTGGCTAATTTTTGCATTTTTAGTAGAGACGAGGTCTCACCATGTTGGCCAGGTTGGTCTCGAACTCCTGACCCGGATTTGCCCACCCTGGCCTCCCGAAGTGCTGGGATTACAGGTGTAAGTCATCAGGCCTGGCCTTAGTCTTAAAGCTTAGTCTCTGAATGCCTTTCTTAAAGCTTAGTCTCTGAATGTGTTTGAGTCTCCCAATCAGATACGTGCCTAACTGAGTTCAAGCAGGGGATAAAATGAAGTCGCATGTGAGGATTCAGCATGTCATGGCTCTGGTACCAATAGCTCCGGCAGTGGCATCCTGTTCCCCAGATCCTGGCTAAGGTAATGTGTTCCTGGAGCCAACAGCTGGAACAATGGCTTCCTAATTTCCTAGTTTTCTGATGTGGCAGAGGCAACAGTTTCCTTGGTGAGAACTTACACCTGTCTTAAACCAACCTTCATTCAGTAACTCGGCCTCAGTATAGATTGTTAAAATATGTAAGCTTTGTTTGCAGTAGGCTTTGTGAGGTATACTAGTACTAATCCAAAGTCAATGTCCCTTACAGGAGTGGTCTTGAGAGTTACAGGTAAAGGGACACAACATATATGCTGGGTCCACAGCACTCGAACCCTTTTTCTTTCATTTAGGGAATTCCATCAGGTGATGAGTCAGAGATACAGGGCCTACCATCCCCTACAGAAGCTGAAAGTGCTAGGTACTCTTTTTTCCACCTGCCTTGCAGCTACAGCACTGGCATGTGGACTGGGCTCTGCCAGTCAGGCACATCTGCCTCAAAGCTTGCTAGAAAAGTTGGTTTCAGGAGATTCACTTCCTGGAAAAGCAGTGACTGCAGGGTAGTGATCAGTCCAGTATCTGCTGGTCACGGTATCATTGGCACAAGCAGTATATCTGGAGCTCTTTAATCATGGCAGTGGTGTCTTGTCATCAGACCAGTTCTGCAACTTGGTTTTGGCTCTTCCTCATTATGTAGCTCAGAATGTGGTTCTTCAGCCCTCCCATTTATTTTATAAGCTACTTAATATCCTTTTTATGTTGTTTTTTTGAGACGGGGTCTTGCTCTGTTGTTAGGATTATACTACACACAACTTCAAGCACCTTCACATCCAAAATTACATCTAGTTACTGCATCCAGCTCTGAGTACAGGATCTTTAGGGAAGTCCAGTATTTCCAATCAGCTCCAGATCTTAAAACTCATGGTTAAAATTATATATTTACTAGCAACATACTTTTAGTCCATTTTGCGTTGCTATAACAGAACACCACCGACTGGGTAGTTTATAAAGAAAAGAAATGTATTTTTCACAGTTCTGGAGGCAGATAAATCCAAGATCAAGGTGCTGGTGTCTGTTGATGACCTTCTTGCTGAGTCATTCATGGTGGAATATGGAAGGGCAAGAGAGTGCGAGACACCAAGAGATTGAACTCAAAACCTCAAGTCCTTTCATGACCCCAGTTACTGAGCCACCACTGAGGACTCAGCAGCTTTCCCTTTGGGCCCCCTTGCTTCCTGATGCTCTATACCCCACCTTTTGCTCACTTCCTCCCACTTCTTCCACTGCTACCTTCTGTAGGCAGTTTCCGCTGAGGAAAAGGAATTGTATGGTATGTTTACTATTCAGAACATCTACTCTTTTGACCTCTTTGCTGGATGCAACTATGGGTGATAACCTGCTTCCTGCTGGCACTGAGGATTATATCCATATAAGAATTTAACAGGGCCGGGCGCGGTGGCTCAAGCCTGTAATCCCAGCACTTTGGGAGGCCGAGGCGGGTGGATCACGAGGTCAAGAGATGGAGACCATCCTCGTCAACATGGTGAAACTCCGTCTCTACTAGAAATACAAAAATTAGCTGGGCATGGTGGTGCGCACTTGTATTCCCAGCTACTCGGGAGACTGAGGCAGGAGAATTGCTTGAACCCAGGAGGCGGAGGTTGTAGTGAGCTGAGATCGTGCCATTGTACTCCAGCCTGGGTAACAAGAGCGAAACTCTGTCTCGAAATAAATAAATAAATAAATAAATACATAAATAAATAAAAGAATTTAACAGAGAAATGGCAGGAAGACTCTTACTACTGTCCAAGGAATTGCTGATGACCACCATAAAAAGAAACTAGGCCAGGTGCGGTGGCTCATACCTGTAATCCCAGCACTTTGGGAGGCCAAGGTGGGTGGATTGCCTGAGGTCAGGAGTTGGTTATCAGCCTGGCCAACATGCTGAAACCCCATCTCTACTAAAAATACAAAAACTGGCTGGGCATGGTGGTGCACGCCTGTTGTCCCAGCTACTAGGGGGGCTGAGGCAGGAGAATTGCTTGAACCTGGGAGATGGAGGTTGCAGTGAACAGAGATATTGTGCCACTGCCCTCCAGCCTGGGTGACAAAGTGAGACTCTGTTTCAAAAAAGAAAAGAAACTAGTTAAGGCGCTTAAGAAGAAATTTGCCTGTAATCAAGCTTCCAGAATGTGGAGAACTAATTCAGCTACAGAGTGAGCAGAGCAAGAACCTATGATGGTTCCTTGCAGAGATTGCACTGGCTAAGGACAATCAGCTGAAGGTTCATGGGTTTTACGTGTTTGTGGCTCACTGAAGCTTAAGTAAGGATTTCCTTGCAATGAGCAGAATTGCCCTTCTGTCTTTGTCACAAGTTTAAACACCTCACATTCTGTATGAAGTAACCATTTGGAGTCTGCTCTTAGCTTGGATGAGTGTAACTCCTTCATGTAATAAACTGAAAAGATCCACACAGACAAAAAAGAAAAGTCCCTTCATAACTGGCATTAATCCATTCATGAGGGTGGAGTCTTCATGACATAAACATCTATTAGGCCCCATTTTCCAAAATTATTGCACTGGGAATTAAGTTTTCAACACATGTTCTTTGGGGAACATATTTAAACCATAGCATGTAGGATATGTACAGCAGTAGAGGAAAAGAGGATGATCTTTTCACGGGCTTGTGTTCCTCCAAAATTTCTCTGTCAAAATCCTAACCCTTACGGTCTTAGAATGTGACTACATTTGGATGTATGGCCTTTAAGGGGGTAATTAAGGCAAAATGAGCCCATTATGGTGAGCCATAGCTCGATATGACTGGTATCTTTTTTTTCTTTTTTTTTGAGAAGTAGTCTAGCTTTGTTGTCCAGGCTGGAGTGCAGTGGTGCAATCTCAGCTCACTGCAAACCCTGCCTCCTGGATTCAACTGATTCTCCTGCTTTTGCCCCCAAGTAGCTGGAATTACAGGCACCTGCCACCACACCCAGCTAATTTTTATATTTTTAGTAGAGATGCGGTTTCACTGTGTTGATCAGGCTGGTCTTGAACTCCTGACCTCGTGATCCGCCTGCCTCCGCCTCCCAAAGTGCTGGGATTACAAGCATGAATCACCATGCCCAGCCTTGACTGGTGTCTTTATAAAAAGAGGACCAGGCCAGGCTCAGGGGCTCACACTTATCATCCCAGCACTTTAGGAGGCCAACGTGGGCGGATCACCTGAGGTTAGGAGTTCAAGACCAGCCTTGTCAACATGGCGAAACCCCATCTCCACTAAAACTACAAAAATTAGCCGGGTATGGTGGCTGGTGCCTGTAATTCCAGCTACTTGGGAGGCTGAGGCAGGAGAATCACTTGAATCCGTGAGGTGGAGGTTGTAGTGAGCCAAGATTGCACCTAGACAACAAGAGCAAAACTCTTGTTTCAAAAAAAAAAAAAAAAAAAGAGAACCAGCCTAGGCCACATGGTGAGACCTTCATCGCTATAAAAATTTAGCTGTGCATGGTAGCACACACCTGTAGTCCCAACTAGTCTGGAGGCTGAGGTGGGAGGATTGCTTGAGCCAGGCAGGCTGAGGCTGCCATGAGCCGTGATCACATCACTGCACTCCAGCCTGGGTGACAGACTGAGATCCTGTCTCAATTAAAAAAAAAAAAAAAAGAAAAAAGAAGAAAAGAAAAGGGAATTTAGACACAGACACATCCAGAGGGGAAATATTGGGAGAAGATGATCATCTACAAGGGAAGGGAGATGCAGAAGAAAACATTCCTGCCAATACCTTGGTCTTGGATTTCTAGCTTCCAGAATGGTGAGAAATTAATTTCTGCCGTTTAAGCCACCCAGTCTGTAACATTTTGTTATGGTAGGCCTAGCAAACTAATACAGACCTCAATTAAAACTCTCATTTAGGCCGGGTGCGGTGGCTCATGCCTGTAATCCCAGCACTTCCCGAGGCGGAGGTGGGCAGATCACCTGAGGTGGGTAGTTCAAGACCAGCCTGACCAACATGAAGAAACCCCATCTCTGCTAAAAATACAAAATTAGCCAGGCATGGTGGCACATGCCTGTAATCCCAGCTACTCGGGAGACTGAGGCAGGAGAATTGCTTGAACCCTGGAGGTGGAGGTGGCAGTGAGCCGAGATCATAGCATTGCACTCCAGGGTATAGACCCCATACCCTGCTGGTTAAAGAGAATACAGTAATTTGGCAAATTTCTTGGAGATCATTCATTAACGCATTTTTTTGAGCAAGGTCTCCACACTTAGAGCTCCACGGTCAGCATTCACATGATAGTCTATGTAAACAGGGCCTCCTTCAGTCGTGCACTGAATTACCTGTGCAGCTCCATATGCCAGTCAGTTCCATCCAGTGGGTAAATTCCTTGGTTACAGAATCTGGTCATCCTGGGTTATGACCAGTAGGAGATTTTCCTTGTCCAGGGTCTCTTAGAGCAGGGGTCCCCAGTCCCTACGCCACGGCCTGGTTCCAGTCTGTGGACTGTTAAGAACCAGGCCACACAGCAGGAGGTGAGTAGTGGCCAAGCCAGCGAACCATCATCTATGTATACAGTCACTCGAATTAATTCACGTTACTGTCTGAGCTCCATCTCCTGTCAGATTGCCAGCGGCATTAGATTCTCCTAGGAGTGCAAACCCTGTTGTAAACTACTAAAAGTACAAAATTCTCCTTATGAGAATCTAATGCCTGATGATCTGTCACTGTCTCCCATCACCCCTAGATGGGATTATCTAGTTGCAGGGAAACAAGCCCATGGCTCCCACTGATTCTACATTAGGGTGAGTTGTATAATTATTTTATTACATGATACAATGTAGTAATAATAGAAATGAAATGCATAATAAATATCATGCACTCGAATTATCCAGAAACTACCATCCCCAACCACTGTCTGTGGAAACATTGTCTTCCACGAAGCCAGTCCCTGATGCCAAAAAGGTTGGGTACTGCTGCCTTAGAGGTACTCCTTGAGAGGAGGATTGGAGAGGATTCCTTCTTAGGAAGCTGTTCTGTTTTAGCGTCACTTATTCTATTGGTGAGGTGTTGGAGACTGGTGATGGCTTGAGGGGTTGCACAGTCAAGAGCCCCTGCATTTTTCTTACTGGTCAACAATTTTTTTTTTTTTTTGAGATGGAGTTTCTCTCTGTTGCCCAGGCTGGAGTACAATGGTGCCATCTCGGCTCACTGCAACCTCCACCTCCCAGGTTCAAGCAATTCTCCTGTCTCAGCCTCCCAAGTAGCTTGGATTACAGGCACCTGCCACCACGCCTGGCTAGTTTTTGTGTTTTCAGTAGTTTTTAGTAGAGACAGGGCTTCACCATATTGGCCAGGCTGGTCTCGAACTCCTGATCTTGTAATCCGCCCGCCTCAGCTTCCCAAAGTGCTGGGATTACAGGCATGAGCTACCGTGCCCAGCCCTGGTCAACAATTTTTTTTAAGGCTTAGTTGGCTGCTTTTTAACTTCATTTTGGGTTAACCATATTGTTTTGGTTATCTATGGCTGCATAATGAATGCTCCTAAAACTTAGTGACTTAAAACAATGACAAGAGCTACTCTCTCTCACAATTCTTCAGGTTACCTGCTTAGCTGGGCTGTGCTCCCCTTCATGGCATTGGCTGGGGTTTCAGTAATTCTAGGCTTGAATGGACTGGAATATCCAAAGATGGCTCATGCACCTGGCTAGCAGTTGGCTGGGAGCTCAGCTGGGGTTGTTGACCATAGTGCATCGGTAATCCTTCACTTGGCCTCTTCAGATGGCGTGGTCTTCAGAGCAGGGCAGTGGGTTCCAAGAGGGAGTGTTCCAAGTGCACGAAGAGGATGTTGCAGATCGCTTAAGGCCCAGCATAAAAGTTAACACATCGCCGGGCGCGGTGGCTCAAGCCTGTAATCCCAGCACTTTGGGAGGCC